TAGTGACCCCCTGCCCGCGTACGATCTTGTAAACGCCCAAGTACCACATACGGGACCGTGAAAGTTCCGGCGAAAAAAATTATTGTCTCAGAAACCACGAAAGTTGGGGATCTGAAGTTTTAAAGTGGGGGTCTGAAGTTCTAAATCGGATTAAAAAACCTTCGATACCCACTTTCGTGGGGATCTGAAGGTCTTTTTAATCCGATTTAGCTTCTCACCTTCCTTTTATTCCTTTTAACCCTTACTTTTTACATAAATACAAAAAATGTGTATTTTTTTTTCTTGTTTTTTTTTGAAGCAAGAAAAATACACATTTAAAATTAAAATTACATTGGAGCGACGTCCCATATCAAAGTGCGACCCCCGCAAACTTGAATTCAGCCTTCACGCACCCCTTGGTACCACGTACAGCCCCGTAAAAGTTTTGGTGGGAAAATTATTATCTTGTGAACTGCAAAAGCTAGAAAACTGGAATGTTAGTGTGGCATTTCCTGCCCACGTAAAACCCTGCAAACTTTCGACGTCCCCGTGGAATTTTTGGCTAGAAATATCATTGTCTTGGGAACCAGAAGAATTAAGGGACTAAAAATTTCAGGAGAATGTTTCCTGCCTAAGCAGGGGCTTAACAAACTCGAATTCACTTCCTATGTATGTCGATGTCTCAAGTACGGCCACGTGAAAGTTTTGTCTCAAATATCATTCAAAAACCAGAAAATTAGGAAATTGAAATTCTGGAAGGATATCCACTCTCCGAGGTTCCAAATCCCGCTTTCACGTGCTGGTGCATGAGATTTTTAACTATTTTTCAACTGTTTTTGCACAGACCAAAGTGCTAAGCAGCAAATTCATTAACAGGCAATCGTTTGGTGGGCGGAATTGCACAGAACGCATGATCGCATCGACTATTCTGATGCGCGCTACTATTTATTTGACTTGCTGCAGTGATTTTCCCGAAATATCACTTTCATTTGTACGTTCTTTTTTCAGATAAACAACAAGCAGTATTGGAGGAATGAGCAGTGACGGAAATGTAAGTTTTCACTTATTAATTTAATACATTTTTGCACATTTATGCGAGTGCAAAAACTCACATTGTCAGAAGGTTGTCTGTGTGTGTTCGCATTCTCTCGTCATTTACAACTCTCTCGCGGGGAAAGCTGGGAAGCTGAAATTTCAGGAGCATATTCCCACGCCGTGTACCATCCTCCCTTTTTAAAATCTTCATCCCGATTGGTATAAATCCCATGCAGACACCTGTAAAGAAACGTATGAATTCTTTGGCTGGAAGAGGTTTCGATAACATTCGGCTTAAGAATTTGTAACTTTGCTGTGTTCTTCTCTATCTGTGTCATTTCAAATTCACCTTTGGATAAAAGCAAAAAAAAGTAAAAGCAAAGAGAACTGAGCCTGTGTGAGTGGAAATTGTCCTATAAAAATCCGTCGTTATTAGGGGCTTTGCTGTTAGTAAAACTGATGCTTATGTGAAGCTGAGAGCGAAAAGGCTCGACTGGATTTACATAAAAATTCCACACAGTGTATTGCCTTCGGCAGCCTGCATTTGTGCACGGCGCTTAAATCTCTGTTTTTTTTTGCCTCCAAAAGGCTGCCCCCATTCCCATGCATGCAGTCCATCAATCTTTTTGCTCATTTAGTGTTTTACAGTGAAACTTGTTCGTCCTCAGCTTTACCTAAGCAGCAGCTTCGCAAGTAGAAAACCTCCCATCCCTTCCCCCTCCACCTCCCTGCCCCTCCCCCCGGTCCCACTGGCGACGAATGTTTGTAGGACATTTTTCACTCGCACAGGCACAGTTTTTTTTTCATTTTTTTTAATCCATAAATTCAAATTTTTTTAACTTTGCCCTTGCTTTCATAGACACTCGTTTGCTTTAATTTGCTTCCCTTTGTAGTGCTGTGTTATTTCTTTCTCTTTACTGATGTCTTTAGTCCTTGCTTGTCTTGTATTCTCTACGCTTTCCCCAAATTCCGTCTGGAGAGCAACAGCTGAGCTCCTCTCCATCTCCACTATAAAGTTCAGTCTAGGAACAAGCAGTATTTCAACCTTTTCCCTATTCCGGGTATTGCGGCAAAAGCCAGCAGCGCGCTTTCTCTTCGTTTGCATCCATCACCTCTCCCCCTGTGTCCTCCAAATGCACGTAACCTAGCCAACTGACAAAGGATCTACGCCATGTAGCAATTAAGTCCACCTATTTTAGCCCCCTCATCTGCCTGGAAAGGAACCAGCAGCACCTCCTCCTCTCCCACGTGCCAACTGTCGCCACTCGCCATGAGATAGGGCTACCCGCCATCGCTAAGAAAAATTCTTCGGAAATCATGTACGGCGCCGGCCGAGACATAGCCGAGTTTTGGTAATTGCCGAAATCCACGTTTGACGTACATGCTGGAGACTAAAATTTCACCGACCTCAAAATGCAACAGCAAGCGCCCCAGTCGATGCCCCTCTGCTGCCACATGTAGCAAAAGTCCAAAAACGTTGCCAACATGGATATAAGTCAGCGATCTGTTTGTCTCAAAATTTTTTCGCAAAACGCATATTCGCACTAGCAAAGCTGCTGCACGCTGCTTCCTGGAGTACATTTTATGTCATTGGGGAAGCTTTGTGGTGCACTTCGCCATCTTATGTGCGTTTTTTTCTCTCTCTGTTGCACTGGTTCAACTACGGCATTAGGAAGCTTGATTCCGGGGGCATGATTCCTATAATGTGTGAAGCTGGAACCAAAAAATCAATTCCTACATCCGCGAAAGTGCTGACGTTTAAAAAGAATTGAAAAACTAGGCCTTTTGTTCAAGTTGAGTTTATCTCGATCAGACATCGATGCTACGATGTTGACATAAAAGCTGTCACCTTTATTTGTAATTGCCTCACACAGTATCATAATTTATAAGTCCGGAACGGTGCAAGAAATAAGTTTGAGATTTCGGCACTTTTCATGCTTGTCGCGCTGCAGCTGGTCTTAAGACTGTATGCGTTCGGGTT